TCTTAATTTCCCTCTCTCATAAAATATTCATTTTAGCTTAGTTCAGTTCAGTTCAGTTCGGTTCCAATCAGTTCAGTTCAGTTCAGCTCCAATCAGTTCAGTTCGGTTCAGTTCAGTTCAGTTCAGCTCAGTTCAGTAAATATGAACAGGCCCTAAATCTAAATCCCTCCAACAAAAAAACTAAAATAAATTTCAAAAAATTAAAAAAAAATGTACACCTAAAAATATAAAATCCCTCCAACAGTTATCAGATTTTAATTTAAAAAAAAAAAAGAAAAAAAAAAACTTGATAGATAAAAAAACAAAGTCTGATAGATTAGTTTTACAGATTTGATAATTGGACACCTCCACTCTTCATCTTCCCACTTATCTTGCCTAACCTCCCCTAAATTCAACAATTACAATCCCCTCATTAATCACAACGCCTCTTACTATATGGTGAATTAGTATGAACCGTCAAGTTGCAAAAATTTAATATTTTATTTAGGTTAAGCCTTCTCACTTTACAAACTATTATAATCCATAGATTTTATTATAATTCAGAATATATCTTTTTATAATGTTATATTATTATTATATATAAAATTTTAATTTTTGGATTTTCTTTTAATTTCTTCAGTTTCTGCTTAAAGGTTGATGTTGTTTCCTGTTGGTGTGAGATAACATATGATCGTTCTGTTCCTACATTATATTCTTGAAACAATTTTGCGTAATTTTATGGTGTTTTATTCTATATTTTTTATCTTATGATATACTTTTGATATATGTTGTAGTGTATGTGTGTTGATCCAGTATTTGTCGGAAAATGACCTCATGAAATTCTATTTTGTGAGTAGTTTCACTTTTTTTTTTCTCTTTAACGGCCAATAATAATAGTTTTTGTTTGCTTTGTTGAATTGATGATTATTATCTTTGAAATTAACAATATTTCTTACTGATGTTTTTTTGGGTTTCAAGTTTTTCACAACTATATTATGTTGTTTCTTTCACAAGATTTATGTTTGTGGATGATGCATATGCTTCATTGAACACCTAATTTGAGTGGCAACTATTTTGCATTTATGCCTTATACCATGTAATGTTTCGATTTTCCTATGTATCTTTTTTACTATTTTGCATTTAAGTTTTGAGAGCATGGAATCAAGGATAATGATGATAGATATACAAATTTTTTATTTTATACCTGTATAGTTTTCGTAACACGTACTTATATTAATTGTGTGATCTTTTTATTTATTTGGTAAATATTTATCATTTTACAGTACAATACAATTTAATTTTTATAACAGCATAAGGACCTTTTGTATTTAAACTTTAGTTTTTCATCTATTCTATATATTTAAGTGTAAGTCTATTATTAATTATCTAAAAGTAAATATATCAATGGCTTAATACTTTATATCTAAAAAATTGTCTCAAATCCAATTAATGGTTGTATACATATTTAATTATCTATAGCTTCATGATCAAACACAATACGGCATCTCACACCCTCAGTATATCAATTCAATTGTTGCACTTAATTTTTTACCGATAAAAATAAATAAATAAATAAATAATCTAACTTTAAAGTATTCGCTTCAATTCACCCTATCAAAAAAAAAGATAAACCTTATTTCTTCAAGTATGTGTACATTTTTTTCTTAACTTATAAAGAACTTACTTCCACCTCTAACAATTCAACACAAAAGAAAGCTTTTTAGAACTTTAGCTTCTAAGTGTTAACTATTTTTGTTCAACTAACGGCTATTGTACATATAAATTTTTTTTTAACCCTGCTATCTTTAGTTATAACCCGTGCATTAGCATGGGCACATACTAGTTTTATTCAATCATTAAGCAAACCAAAGTACATCAGTTTTCATTAATTCCCCTAATACATAACCTCCAACATTAACATTGTAATTCACCTTACTAAACCTAATTCAACACTTAGCAACAACAAATAACATAACAAAGTACATAATCAGAGCCATCTTCACAGTTAGTTTGATGAAGTTCACCAATTCATCCAGCCTTGAATTAACCGCAACAATACCACCTTGTTCAACCACCAAATCATCACCAACCCTTATTATATCATCCTCCTTCATCCAAGCTAAAAAATCGCAACCCCTGCACTTGAAAAATAGTCTTCTAGGGTTAATGGTGATTGGCTTCACCAAGGAAGATGAACAACTGTCCTCATTGAAAATATTGGGGGAAATTCGTGAAAATTGGGGAAAATCGTGATAAATTGAGGATAATCGTGAAAATTAGGGTTTGGTTTTTATTAAAGGGGCAAATTGATTTCAGACATATAAGAAGGGGGAAACCAATTTGGAGGGAAAGTCAGGTTTTATTAGGGGAAAATTAGGGACAAATTAGTCATTAGGTTATTAGTTAACCATAGTTACGCTTAAATGCCTAATATGCTTAATTAATGTTACCAATGGCCACTGGCGGATCTACATTGTGACCCGGGGGGCACGTGCTACCCCCGAAAAAAAAAAACTATTTATAAAAAAACCTTCCTGCTAAATTCTCTTCATTTGAATTTATTAAACAATGCATGATTTCCATGAAAACAGAACCTGCCTCAGCGATACAAAGCAAGTCATAAAGCTTCCTATGAGTGCCTTGGGGTCAGCGGTTCGATTCTCCCTCACCTTTTTTTTTTGGTATTTTCTAAGTCTTTGTTTTTCTAAATAAAAAAATAAATAAAAAAAAAACTACAATATCAATGCTTTATTATTTTTTTTTCCACCCCAAATAATTTTCCTCTTTCTACACATTTATATTCAAATAGATTAGATAAAAAGACTTCCATCAACTTGATTTTTTTTTCCAGATTACTTCCACTTTCTTAGTTTCTTGACATTTATGTTATAATATATTAGATAAAAATAACTCCCATAAAAATTTGTTCAACAACAATAATAGTATGAAATATTTATAAATATATATAGATAATTCGTCCGTGAAGAAAATTAGTAATATCTTATTAATTTGACTAATTTTATTTGATAGTAATACGAAGTATACATTTTGATAACTAGTATGGTGTACATAATTTTACCCGTGATAATAACTCATAGCAAAATGTATAGATGGTTGAAATTTGATGGTAACATTTTATACAGAATCGCAATACATTATGCAAAAACTTTAACTTGATGATTTATTACCCAACTTAAATTTAGTTTGAGTTTCAAGTTGGTAAGTGTATATTGGTTTTTTCCCTTTTATTTTTCTAGCGTGCGTTTAGTGCTACCCCTAGTCCGAAATCCTGGATCCGCCACTGCCAATGGCCTAATTTAATTATGTCTTGATACCAAAAAACATATCAACACTTGAATTCCATACATGAGTGCCTCATCTTAAGTTTCCATACATAAGAAAATACGACTTCATTTCTCAACATATATATCTATAAATCTACGAACTTTTGATCTTATGAGCCTGCCAATATCATTGAACGAAAGTGAGCTTGCAATAGATTCCAAGTTTAATCAACTTTGAGAGAAACAGTGGATACTTACCTAAATTTCAACCGTCTTTATCTCTTCCACTAATGGATCAAACTTAGCCCTTTAAGAGTGTTACTTGATCATGATAAGGTCTCACAGCACAAGAAATAAGTGGATAGGTAACTATATATTGCTGCTACTCTAAGTGACATCTTTAGTCCAATCTTCAAGTAATATACACTATATATGATGAACAGAAAAAATACAAAATAAAAAAAAATAATAAATAAGGAGGGAATGAAAAGAGGGGAGGGAAATTGGTAGGGGGGAAAAAATGGAGCTTGGTAAGAGGACACTGATTCTACTCTAATTTAGTGCACGTTATAGATGTCAATTCAGCTTTCACCCTTATAATCCAACAACAAAATATTTTTTTGATGATGTAGAACTATATCCAGAGCTGGGTCTACAAAGGAAGGTCATTGAAAATTTAATGACACACACTCAAGTCTTGATCTGATATAAGATATATAATGTCTCAGTTGTTTCAGGCAGACACCATCTTACAGGAGCATAATATGGCTTAGTACAATGGATCTGTAGAACAAGGTCTTTTGATGAGTCGAGCTTCTTCTTTCTGATAAGAAGCTTGTGAACTTGTGATGCCTATTTTTGAGCAAAAATGTTGCATTTCATGGTGGAAGTTTGATATATGATAAACATAAAGCAAGCTTGTTGATCCTGATCTTTTTTTTCTTTTACTAAGGCAGATTATAGATCACTGAGAAGGATGCCAGTGAATTAGCCTGGATTTAAGGTAACTGACAGACTTCAGAGGTACAAGACATTATTTCGCAAATCTATTCAAGTGTTCTAGCCAAAAACCAATTGACATAGATAAGAATGATACGCCTTTCAAGCAGGAAGCAGGGATCCTAACCTCTGGCCCGACATCTAATTATCAAGGATTAAGCACACAAGTTGAGAGACTACTTTAGCATGATGAGCAGAGATTTTACTGGTGAATGAAGGTTAGGGAAATCAGTTTGCCAAAATTATCAGTTCTCTCATTTCTTTTGACCTCTAGGAAAGATAAGAAGCTATATCTAAATGACATCACCGCTCTATTCCCCTTCCTCCTTCCTCCCCAGTCCAGTGATCCCAGCTGATAATCATCCTACTAAGAAACACCCTTCTGTTTCACCACCGACATTGACACAGATCAAAACAAGCTATATACAGGTTGTGTGCTAAAAGACTATATTACTGAGGTCTTATCATAATACTAATCATGAAATTCATATGCTATATATAAAAAGTGCTTACCAGATCTTGCTTCTTCTTTAGTCGGTTGTAAGAAGTACCTACTACCTACCACATAGCCTGGTTACGTTGCTGCACATGCCTACCTGCAACATTCATAACTCAAAAACTTCTAGCTGTTAGCAACGAAATTTTCAGCAGGAGATACAGTCATTAGCCAAAAACTTAATGAAGAACCAGCAAATATGTATCAGCAAACAGATGGGGATAATACCCATATCCATTATGTAAAATGGAATAAGATTAAAGAAGGAAATTTGGAGGAACTGAAGCTAAAATCAATCAAACAAATTTATAGATTAAATGATAGAATCACTCGTTCAATCAATTATGTACTAATTTAAACCTAAAACACCATAGGGCTGCACTCGCGTTATGCTAGCAAGTGCAACCTACGAATTAGTCCTAGGAACATTATCTTTTGACTCGAAACCTTCGTTCTCAGGGTGGCCAGGAGAAGAATCATCATCCAGCCAATTTTCAATTCCTGTACCTCCTGCCTGAAGAGAACCTAAATCAAAGACATCTGAAAACTCGCCTGGACAAGAAGTTACAACATCCGGAATATCATAACTGGCAACGTTGCCCCAAAATGCAGGAGTAGAACTTGAGACATCTGTGCTGAGATCAAACCCCATACTCCAGACCTCCTCCTGCTTGATATTTCCAATTGCAGGAGAGGAGGATTCAGGAAACGTTTTCTGTCGTACCAATTCCTCAGGAAATGAAACAAAATAGTCACCTGCAGCTTCTGATTGAGGAGCAGCTACCTGACCCCTTGAAAAGGGATCTCCTATCCCAGAACTCAAAAGGCCAGCTCCAACTGAGCTAGGGATTTCCATAAATTCCTGTGCTGCCGCAGGTTCATCCAAAGGAACAGCTTCACTTTGAAAAGGCACACTCAGTGCTCCACTACTTGACATTCCCATCACATCTTGCAAGAGATAATCTTGGGCACTTGTCATTGGAATATCAGAAGACGGAAACTTCCTCCATTCTTCAAACTCGGGTTTGTATTTGACAATTTGTCCCTCTAGAGATGTACCAGAACTACCTGCTTCTTGATGTGCTTGCTTCAGAAAATTCCTTCTTGTTTTAGGAGAAACAATAGACCTTTGTTCTTTCATTTGCTTCAAACGGTCTACAAATACCGGGTTTTGAAGCACTTTAGCTAAGAATGAAACCATTTGTTTCTGTCTCTGCTCCGAAGCCTGAATCTTATCCTTCACCCTTTCTACATGCTCTGCAGTTCCGCGCTGCTGTTCCTGCAGCTCAACAACCTCTTGCATTAATGCACTCTTCTCTTTCTTTAGTTTCTCAATCTCACTTCCAATTCCAGACTCAGAAGATGATGACCCTCCATAGGGGGTAAGCTGCTGAGATTGAGTGGATTTTCGCCTGTGAATATTCTTCAACAATTGCCTGCTTCCACGCAAAAACCCCTCATTCGCAAACTCCCACTTATCAGGATCAACCTTGCGAAAACCCTGAAGTAACCAAAAATGTCCAGAATTAATGCTAAATCATGAGAAATATTACAACTAGTCCAAATACAAACATCTATTCATGACAAGTTGCAGACACACTCGATATTTCAGTCAGACACTGCATCAAAACGACAGGTACACTCGACAATTCAGTCATACACTGCATCAGTACACTGAAACACTTGGAATCTCAGTTATAAATTGCATTAATACAACTTCACTCGAAAATTCAGTCATACAGTTACTTAATACAACAGTACAAAAGAACTTCGAATAAAAGAAACAAGTAGAGCATAACCTGATTCAGTGATTAGCAACAGCAAGCTGAAATTTCACAATAACCTGACATTCTACCTTTACAACATAGAACCCAAGCAACCAGTGTAACACTTACAATATAAAACATACTATTCCATTATGCATAAAGATGAATTGAAGTAATGTAGCAGTAATAACAACTAAAATTCATTAAAACCCGGATTCTACCTTGTAATATGGTGAAACTCCGTTACTCGAGCAAACAACCAAACCAGTAAATTCATTGTTATATCTGGAAATGCGAAGAACAGCACGATCAAGATTCAAGTATGTATGATCCATTCCCAATCATCGCAGAAGCATTTCCTCTTCATTACACATATAGATAGACCAACCATGTATACAACCAAGAACACAACTCACTAAAAAAACATTTATACATTTATCTTAAAATATGTACAACTCTACAACAACCAACCCCACAACATTACAGCAAAATCAATCCCTTTACAACCAAAATTACAACTTTTTGAAAATTGATACAAAATGATGATACATATTAATTGAACATAATTGAATAATAAAAAAAGCAGCAGAATAAATAGAAAATATAGGGGGAAATACCCACATAAGTATTGAGCTGACGAACAAAACTGGAAAAGTTATTGTGCTTGAAATTCCGAGGAAGAACAAGTCTAGCAAAATCCACAGGATCCCAAATCACAAAGCTTTCACCTCGCGAACCCCAAGATATAATCATATCCAAGTTGGGATCTTCAACAAGATCATAAGTTTTGGATAAAAATGGTGGAATTGGAGTACCCTGTAAACACTCTAATGGCTGCGGTTTCTGCTCAGTTTCCGACTCCGCAGCAAAAACAGCAGGAAGCGAAGGAAGAGTAGGAGGTGGTGGAGAATAAAAACCCTGAAAATTGATATTGATATTAGAGGATGTCATGGAATCAAACCCAGTTGAGTAAAATGGTTCAGAAAAAACAGAGGATGGGTCGAAAGACGAAGTCGAAGTCGACCCAGATGGAATTGGAGCAGACGATGAAGTGGGTATTTCTGGGAGAAACATTTTATCATCAGAATCCATAAATTAAGGAGGCAGAAAATGAAAACTATAAAGAAAAAAAAAACACAGTAGAGTAAATGGAAAAAAAATGGAGGAGAGAGAATTTATAGATAAACATGGAGACTTGCCGACTAAGTAAAGAGGGGAAAAATATCTGAGCAAAGTAAGGCGGTGTAAAAGTATGAAGGGGTCACCGACCTTTGTTTTAGTGGGAATGTTCCTGGAAATAAATGGGATACTGTACTCTGTTTTCTGGGTTTACTGGGAATTTTTCTGGGTTTTAGATGAAAGGTGGGTGATGACTGATGAAAGTGAGTTTTTTTTTTTTTTTGCAAATTGGGTGAAGTGAAATAGATATTTTTGGTGGGGTCGATGTTTAATGAGAAAGGGTGAGATGGAGGAACCAATGGTGGAGTAACACGAGTTATGATGTTGGGAGATTTGCCAATCGTGTTCATCCATTAAACAAGTGAGTGTAACTTTGATGTTTTTTTTTTTTTTTTTTTTTTTTTTTTTTTTTTTTTTTTTTTTTTTTTTTTAATCTGACGATCAAATTTGATGGGTTGAAGGGAGGACTAAAGAAAAAACACGACTCGTCTTAAACCGACATAGTAGTATCACTGTATCAGTGAAACAGTGTTCACTGTATACGACACGTTTTCGTCTTAATACTCTAAAGCCCGTACAATGTACAGGTTATTTATAGATAGGGTGTTTATAAATCGGTCCGGACCGAAAAAATAGACCGGACCGGACCGGGTCTTAAAATTCATTTTCCGGTCTTCGGTCCGGTCCGATCCAAAATCCTATAAAAACCGGTTTTGGACCGGACCGATTTTTTTATTAAAAATATGTGTGAAACCTTAAATAATGGTTAAAATTATTCTTAATAAGCTTAGTAAGCTTTAACTTTATAAGTTTTTTTGCACTAAACATACAAAAAAAAGACGTAAAATGACGTTACAATATAGTTTTTCCAATACTTTTTTTGTGTTTTCCTTAACTTTATTAAAAATTTAGTATTCTTTTTAAAAATATTCTTAAATCGGTCCAAAGCAGTCCGGTCTGGGTTTTGGACCGATTTTTTTCGGTCCTAACTTAATCGAATTGGTTTGGTCTTCGATTCTTAAAATTCTAATTTTCGGTCTTCGGTCCAATCCGGGTTGGTCCGGTCCGGTCTTGGACCGATGAACAACCCTATTTATAGGTGTATAATATAAATTTTTATTTTATAATAAGTTTTACTTGAAAAATGAACAGTAATTATAGAAGTTATTAAGTTGGGAGAAAGTGAATTAAATAATACTCGTATTCAATTCATACATGTATGGAATTAAAGCTAGTTTTTTTTTTAATTTAATATGAGAAAGGGAGTGATTTCCCAAAATAATGTAATAATATAAACTAATTCCTTATATCAATTGGTTTAAAAACTAGATCCCACAATACCGTCCACGTAGGCTCAGTTTCAAGGTTCGGTATTTGCAAGTATAAAATTGCTAACGTTGTTGGCGATTTTAACTAATATAGAATCTTTAATGATATGAGAGGTTATAGAGGTTCTACGCATAGAACCTCTATTGGTATTATCGGTTCTTTATGTAGAACTTAATACCATTAGCATTTCTATATAAAGAGCCGCTAGTGAAAGCTAAATTAAAGGTATTATCGGTTCTTTATGTAGAACTTAATACCACATTAGCATTTCTATATAAAGAGCCGCTAGTGAAAGCTAAAGTAAAGGTTCTATGCAAAGAACCTCTAATGGTATTAGTTGTTCTTTACTGCTAAGTTCCAAACCTAGGAACCGATTCTACGTGGACGGTATTGTGGGAAATAGTTTTTAAATCGACTTATATAGAGAATTAATTTAACATTATTTAAGGAAATCTTTCTAAGAAAGGGGATTTAATTAATGAAAAGGTGAAGAGACATATGGCATTGGTGGAAAAAATAGTTTACACGTGGCGTGATGGGTATGATGGTTTATATTTTTAAAAAATAATAAGTATAGATAGTATTAAGTATTAGGAAAAAAAAAAACTTGTGTGGATCTGATTCATGATAATATTATTGCCGACCTGAGGTTAATACGCACGCATTGGATATTATATATATTGAATATAGTGACTCTAATTTTAATATAGTAACCTTTATTAGAACTTGTGTGGCCTTTAATATTATTGTGAATCTGATATACGACTTTATGTTGACCCGTGTATAAAAATATTCATTAAAAAAACTAACATGTTGTTGCCTTTATAATACCATAATGACTTTTATTTCAACATAATAACCTATATTTTAATATAGTATTTTTTTAATTAATAAAAAACCATATTCCACTTGTCTATAATGTTAGCGGTCCACAATAAATTAATATGGACCAGGTCCACAATTGTCTTATGAATAGTACACGGACTATTACCCCTCAAAATGTTTGTTTACCTTCTTATCCCCCATGTGTATTTTTTGTAATTTTTCTTAAGACCCATCAATTAGTTAAAAATAAAATGAAAAATGGAATAATAAAGTTTAAAATTTTCTATATTAAATTTAATGGGGGTTTTGGTTTAATTACATGACAACATTGGTCATCGGATAACGAAAAGTTGTTTTATGTGGGAGTTTATATATATATATATATATATATATATATATATATATATATATATATATATATATATATATATATATATATATATAGGACAATGAAATTAATCTATGATTGTGCCGAAGTAAATGTACTACTACCTCCGTTAACCATTATCTGCAACTTTTACTAAAAATGGACGCTAAAAATTATGTGCAACATTTCCAAACCTTTCCATATTTAGTAAAAAAAAATTAACAAAATTACAAAAATACCCTTACTTAAAACTTTATAAGATCAATTACATTCTTTAAAACATAATTAATCAATTACTAATCTAACCTAATTAATCTAACTACTCCTATCAAATTTAATTCATCTCCCCCAATAACTCATTAAAATCAACCAAACTAGTTCAAAATCATCCAATTTCTCCACATTCATACCCTAATTTTTCACCCAATTCATCTTTCCCATTACCTTTCTCCCTCCTCCTTCAAACTCAATCAGATCTGGTATCACCAAGAAGAAGGTGACGAAGAAGAAGACGACGAACAAGATCTGGTATTCGGTGGGTGTGGCGGTTTCTTTGGTGGTTTTGGGTTCGAATTGGGGTGGGTCGTAATTCTGGGTTCGAGTTGTGGGTTTCGTTTCTGGTGGGTTGGTCGTTTTTGGTGGCTGGTCGTTCTTCGTGGGTGGTTTTCGTAGGTGGGTGGTTTTCGCAGGTGGTTTTCGTAGGTGGGTTTTCGTAGGTGGGTTTTCGCAGGTCGTTCTAGGTGGGTGGTTTTCGTGGGTGGGTTTTCGTAGGTGGGTTTTGGTGGTTCCGTCAGTGGGTTTGGAGGGTGGTCGTCCATCTGGGAAAAGGTGTGTGTTCGTGGAGGTGGTGGTTCTGTCGGTGGGTTTCGGTGGCTGGGGTGCTAGATTGTTCTTTCAGTTTTTTATTTTTTTTATTAACTATTAATGACATACCCTTACTTTGTGTTAAACACCATTAAGAAGTTTTGCATTGGAGTCCGTTCCTCACCCCAAAGTTGCAGATAATGGTTAACGGAGGAAGTAGAAAGAAAGAAAACCAAACTGACTATGGTGAAAAGGGGAAGAAAACAAGAAGGGATTCAAGGGGATTATGGGGCAGCATAGTGCTTATTTTACTGTCAAACCAAATCGTTAGAAGCATTTTGTCCAAGCTCATTTTTTTACTTTTGAGCATTGTGAAATCATGTGTATTTGTATACTATTATATATTATTGTCACTACTATGTATTATGAAGATGTACCCTATACTATATGTTGTACCTTGTTTCCAATTAGGTCAATGAACGCAAAGGATATATTAGTATCATAAATTCTTGTATAAAGTCTTAGCACGTTTTTTATCTTTTTTTTTAACTAACTACTTAAATAAGGGTGCAGCCTATTGTATCAGATTTCCCAGAATATCCTACAACATTAAAGACAAGATCCCTCGGTAGCGGACGCTAACTCAATGTGAAATGCAAACACAAGCCAAGAAAAATTAAGGCTAAGCAACAGAAAGATATTCATATATAAGTCCATTAACTCCATGTCAAGTGCAAATACAAGCCAAGAAAATTAAGCCGAAAGGGCTGACCACCCTGCGAGCAACACGCACTTTGGCTACCCTAGTATTATCAAAAGAGAAAGAGTATATCTTTAATTAAATAAATAATTAAGGAAACTATAAATTAAAACCTACAAAAAAATTTTTTTTTTTTTTTTTGACATGAGCTTATACAGAATAGAAAAACTAATAGACAAAATTAAAGGAGGATAAAGTAGAGTTCGCTATTGTAGCAAGAACGTGAGCCTTCTCCACTACCACTCGATCCACCTTCAGAACAGCACACCACTCAAAATTGCTACTTAAATGGCGAATACGAGCAAGTGTCCACCGAATAGCGATATCTGGATCTTGGTCACCCCGAAGGCAACGGACAACTGTAGTCGAGTCCGTATAAATTGTTACCGCACGAAGTGACCTTGGGACCTCCCATTGTATCCCTTCTAGGCATTCAACTCTGCATGCAGAGCAAACTGATAACTCCGTATTAATTTCACTGTCCCCCACTTCTTTTTACCTTCCTCATTTTTTCATCTTCCCTGTCTTCTTTCTTTTATTTCAAATTCTCTTTCTTTCTTGTACATTTTCTCAGACGCGCGTTCCCCTCCATTGTTATGGTAAGTTTTTGCATCTTTCGTCTTCGTTTTTGCTTTAATTTCCCGTCATTTTTACTTTTCTCCTCTTTCTTCTTGCCTTCTTACTAATTTTGCCTTTCTTTTTCTCTTGGTTTCAGCAGAGAGTACTCATTTACCACTTCAGGAGGGTGTAAAGCGCGAAGACCCCCCGTCTCCTTTGTAGCAAAAAGTTCCTGTTGGCGAAGTCCTTCTGAAATAATTGCCGGTGTCAACAAAGGACCCATCCCTGCCGTGTTGAAAACCCTGTGATTACATGATATCCACAACCCCCAAAGAGTTGCGATGAAAAAGGTTGTTCTATGACCATCAAATCCATCCTGGCTTAGGAACAGCCGGACATAGTACAGAATCCAATCATTGAAGGATTGGCCTGTGCTAGCTTCTGAGTGGATAGTTAAAATCCCACCCCTCCATGCATCTCGTGCAGGATTGCAAAATCTAAACAAGTGTTGTAAATCTTCCACCTGTGTCCCACAAAGGTCGCAGTTTATACTTATAGTCAGTCCACGTCTACCCAAATTAGCCTTTGTAGCAATTCAATTCCGAAGTAGCTTCCACATAAACAGTTTCCACTTAGGCATGACGTTTAGGAACTATAAGGTTTTATACAATCCTGAAATGTCGTCTGAGGAATCTGTGAGTTGTTTGAGGAAAGCGTACCCTGTCTTAACGGTAAACTGACCCGACTTGTGGTGACGCCAATACAAATAATCCTTCGAGTTGCCACAAGGTAATTCCATACTTGCAATGACTTTGGCATCAGTGTGTACAAAAGCAGAGTTTAGATGGTCAAGGTTCCACTCAAAAGTCAGAACCATACGGGCAAATGAAGTTACTAGCCTTCCAATCCTTAGTCTGACGCAAATTAATTGTAGAATTAAATTTTGGCACTATGCCAACCATCCATCTATCCTTCCCTGATACTATAGACTTTCCATTTCCCACCTTCCAACCACAACCCTTGATAAGAGTATTCCCAGCCCTTAAGCCCCAAGAGAAATTCTTATTCCGATACCGAGCCTCTACCACTTTAGTCAACGGGCTATGAAACCGAGCTGCACACACCTTGGTGAGCAAAAGCTAAGGGTAGTGAAATAAACGCCAAGCTTGTTTCATAAGCAAAGTTGAGTTGAAGGAACCTAGACTACGAATTCCCAAACCCCCCATACCCTTAGGCATGCACACCTTGTCTCTACTCACCTAGTGCATACCCCTACAACATTAATTAAAAGGACCAAAACCTTAATGAGCAGATCATGAGCTACTCGACTCGAGTCGAAACTTTGATGAGAACGAGTCGAGCAGGTTTTATTGACTCAAAACTTTAGCGAGCACGAGTTGAGTACATATAAAAAGTTTTTGAGTCGAGTTGAGCACCCCTTAGCTCTTAATCGACTCGCTCGATTAGCACCCATGCTCCCTTTATTTCATAATAATTGCTATAACTTTGACCATTAATGACCATATTAATTTATCTAATTATATATTAGTAAAGTTATAGGAAAATTGATATTATGAAAGTATACATTATAACTAATCCAACAATGTATTATACAATATCATTTGTTTTTTTTATATATTAGTAAATTAATAAAGTCAAAACCATATTGAATCTGTATTTATATATTAAAAAGCGTTCCTGCCATGTTATCTTTCAACCATGACCATATTATAATAAAAATATCTATCATGAGATTCGAACTCACAACCACAAAAATATGCATTAGATGTCTTACCATCTCATCCATATATTAATCATGTTTTAATTTTCGACTCATAAATATATAAGTATAAGGATTGGATGGAGATCTGAACATTTAATAACTGCAATTCTTAAAAGAAAATAATAAAAATAAAAATAATCCTATTTTTTGCTAATTATGATCATCGAGATAATACGTACAAGCAAGAAAAATTAACTATTGTTATAAATTTTAGTTATTTAATTATTTTGATAATAATTAGGGCTTTATTTTCATTATATTATAAATTATATACAAAAAAATATGTCTATATAATTTTTTTACAAGAACATGTTTATATAATTAGTCAATAGTTGTTCCATAAATAATTTATTCAAAAGTTTAATGAGAAACTTTTATAAATTATATACAAATAATGAATAAATAAATAATAAAGAATGAACCTATCTATTCAATTACAAGTGTTAAAAAAATAATCCGGAACATTGTTCGGGCCACACACTAGTTTGTATATTAAATGTGAAAGTTAACCATGTCAATTATTTTGGAAAGGAAATAGTATTCTCTATGAAATTACTCTTTTTTTTTTTTTTAATTGTAACTTGTAGCGGTTTGCTATCTAAAGCAGTGGTGGTTTCGCCCTGCAAAATTTTTTAAAACTTTAAGTAATTGTATATGATCCTACAGGAGCAATACTTTGGTAATTAAGTTTCATTATGACACAAGTATAAAAAAGTTTTAAATGACCTTAGTTTTGTAAATCGTCCAACAATTCATCATCCATTAATAAGATTATTAAGGTTCTTTGCCTGTCAAATGTACAAGCTAAGATATAGTTGTTTTTTTGTTGATTAGACATTCACGTCCAATTGAACAGAATTTATACACACTAGTAAAACTTTTAACAGGCGTTGTCAACGTGTAAATCTCCATACTATGAAGCAGCATAAACATATGCAACAACGAAAGATAGCTTTTATTGGATTCAATTGTTATGTTTCTTTTAACATTTTTAGATCTAAATTTCTTTGCACATATTGTATGACTTTTTTCAATGAACCGATCCCGATCCCATTCCCATATTCATAAAAGGAAAAAGAGAAGGCACCAGCTTCATAGATAGAAGACTAGTGCAGAATCAGAGAAATTTGTAAACTGTAAGCTTCAATTGAGCTTTTTTAGCACCAATCTAATCAACGATAAATTGCTGCTGTAACTTACACCCGCTTCGTATATTATCCAATGTCCATAACAAATTTACAACGAAACTATTCGCAAGAACTAGAAAAACAATACGGAGTATAAGGTAATATTCTTTGCTGTAAGAGATTATAAGTCTACCTGAATTGATAAACACGAAAGTCGGTCATCACGAGCAACCAAATCTTATTAGACATTTAGGGATGCTCAACCTTTCTTCGTTAGGACTTTTATACTGATTGAGATATGATTTACATCAACACTCCCACCCTACTTTTATCATCAATGAGAGAATAAGCAAGAGTGCTATTACAAATTTAAAGTGCCGAAATCAAGAGAAAAAAAAAAATACTGTTTTTTTTTTAATCTATCTAGTTCCTACGTCAAATTATGCACAATTCACTCAGATGCTAATTTCCAGAAACCTTGTCCGCATCGGTGCTTTAAATTACATACAAAATCATAATGATACAATTAGAATAGGCGGACAACTGTACTGGAAGACTATTCATTTTGATCATCTAGTATAGTAGTATGAGTAATGTATATTTGTCAAAAAAATCAATTCTCAATTGGCAAGGTAACAGAGATGTACAGCATTTGACCTGCATCAACAGAGACAGGCTTCAGAACCTACAAGATCGAAGGTCTTCATCTTCGGATTACAAAAATATTATTCAGAAAAAAAGGATAGAAAATAAGGTGTTAAGAATAAGTAGTTGGGTTATTAGAATCGGAGTACCAGATCATTGTTATCACAACACCCAAAAAAAAAAGGATATTTTTTCAAAAAAACCACCTTTTAACGGACGGTTTTTGTCAGAGACCACCTTATTTTTTTTGTCTATATTTTTTCAAAAAAACCACCTTTTAACTTACGGTTTTTGTCAGAGACCACCTTATTTTTTTCTGTCAAAGAAAAAGAAGACTTCATTTATAATTTTTTTTGCCAAAGACCACCTTTATAGCCAAATTGTGGGCTTTGATTCACATTTCCGGCAATGACTTCGTTTTAACTCTCACACTCTCTTTGCCCTGGTTGCACCACCACCGCTACTTCCCACCCCCCCCCCCCCCCTTCTTATTCTCCCTATAATGCCCTTCCCTCTTTCTCTATCTATGTTTCTCTTTTAAAAGTAGATACTGTGTTTTTGGAGGGTTTAGGGTTTGTCCTTGAGATAATTAGATAAGTTTGGGGTAAGTGGGTCGCTTTTGGTAGTGGGTGAGTCGTTTTGTGGTATAGGGTATTTTTTTCATTGGTGGAAGAGTGGTTATGTGGTGACTAGGGTCACTAGGTAGATTTTTAGTGGAAATGGAGTGGTTTTAAGGAGGTTGATGTGGGATTTGGTAGTGGGTTGGTGCATTTGATGGTAGATAAGTGGTTTCAAGGAGGTTTAGGGTTTTTGGTGGTGGATGGGTGGTTTTGGAGGTGATTGGTTGGATTTTGGGTGGTTAGGGTGGGTTTTGGTGGGGCGGCGTTGGTAGTCAAGTGGTGGTGTGTCGGAAATGGGTGATTTCAGTAGTCATGGCGCGGTGGTCAACACCTGAAATAAAAAGTCAATGCAAAAGGTGCTACTTTACAACCAAAAAAAAAATTAGTAACAACTTATTAGTAACAACTTTTTTTTTACCAAAAAAATTAAAGGTGGTTTCTAACATAAAACGCCATACCATTTTAGAAGGTGGATTCTGACAAATATTTCAAATAGGTCATACGCATGTGACACTAGAAAGACCAAACTCCAAGATGAGCAAATGAAAACTAGAAAAGCAGGAAAGACAGTGACTTTTCAGCTACTGGTTATATTCGCCAGTCAAGAGCCAAAGAATTCTCCCCCTCAATAGCTAAAGAAGCATTCAATTCTACAAAAACTCAAAGACCCATCTAGAGTGAATACCCTGTGGTGACCTCACACGACATGCAATAACACCCAGAAGAGGTATCCAACTCTGAAATTCAATAACACCCAGAAGAGGTATCCAACAGAGTTTATCCATGGTACTGACCAGTTTCACCTAGTGATGGAGACAGGGAATCCAAGATCTGTCTAATAGCTCACAGATTACAGATAACCAGCCAGCAACACGGCCAAGAACAAGAAAGAGCACAGTTCATTCAATAAAATGATTTTCCACTTTCATTCAAGGTAGATATGGACATGGTAACATATTCTGAAAGCATTTAGCATATCAACTTCTTCCATAAATTTTTTGTTTTTCAAATTAGCTGCCACTTTAGTCATTCTTCACAATAATTTTTATCAGATATCAATTTAATCAATTCATCAGTCCACATGTAGGTATGTACTTGTGTTAAAATATTTCATTTGTCCTAGTTTATAAATCTCAACTTCAGCTGAAATCATCCTTGGAATATATTTTAAACGCCAAAATGATATGATAATCAGAGAGGGTAGGATGCAAGACCCAGATGGGCGCACCTGGGATTATTGGATGGACAGATACCCTTTTCCAAATGTCTCGCCAGGAAAATAATCTTGCAAATACGAATGAGGAGAGCAAAGCGGCAAAACTCCCATCTGACAAATGATTTACGTAATGATGTGTGCATCTCCACGTACTGATTGAGGTGCAGGAGGTTTAAGAAGTGTCCTCAAGGATTCCATGATATTGGCAAAAGATGGACGCTTCCAAGGCTCACTACAGAAAACCAAAAAAATCAGATAAGTAAAACAATATAGTAAACCCTGACAGATGCATGGTAAAAACCAAAAACAGAGGACTTTTACGCACTTTGCCCAACACGCCTCAATAATAGCAGCTATTTGAGGATTTACATCACGTGGAATATCAAGTCTCTTGCCCTTAAAACCAACAGCTGCAACAACCTACAGAAGGGTAGAACACAAACTTATCACGAAAGAATGTGCATTAAGGAAATAAGATCCATACAAAAATATAAGCACAAATTTTACCCCCAAAAAAAAATAGGAATGTGCGTGTAGGGAATAGGAGCATAAAGACATGAAGATGCACTAACTAGTCATAAGAAAGTATATAGTGTGAACAAGAAGTTAGCCTTTGAACTGATGCTCCCTTTATGCCAAATACATGTCACTATCGTCTATTCAGACTATAGAGATTGTTAATTATTCAAAAATACTATTACTCAATCCTCAGTTCCCACTGACAACTAGCAAGGGATACTTCTGAAAACTTGAGCATTCCTGAATTATCTAGTTAAAAAAAACCCAATGTGCCGTTATTTGTGGAAACAGGGTAAGTACAATTGTACCTATTTACAAAGCATAGAGACGGTAATTAACTAATTATTAACAATGCTCCCCCTCACTCCCCTGAGTTTCTTTTCTCTCCCCTTTTTCTCTCTTTATCTGACCCATATATGCTATTTGGGACATCAGCACCCTGAATGTTCCAATTGTACCTATTTACAAAGCATAGAGACGGTAATTAACTAATTATTAACAATGCTCCCCCTCACTCCCCTGAGTTTCTTTTCTCTCCTCTTTTTCTCTCTTTATCTGACCCATATATGCTATTTGGGACATCAGCACCCTGAATGTTCCAAATCCCAAAGTTCAGTTCTTTGTCAAAACAGGGTAAGTACAATTTGTACCTATTTACAAAGCATAGGGAAGGTAATTATTAACAATGCTCTCACTCCCCTGAGTTTCTTTGTCTCCTCTTTTTTATCTCTTCATCTGACCCATATATGCTATTTGGGCCATCAGCACCACCACCCCCCCCTCAACAAACCCCATCTCTCTCCGATCTAAGGACCCCATACCGATAAGGAGCTTGGGTTTTAATCATTGAAAAATTCTTGAAACAAACAGCAACTTGGTTTGGAATCTAATAGAAAACCTACTACCTGAAAAAGAGAACCAAATGTCCCCTCAATTATCTCCAATAATATCTTCACACCAGCTTTATCATTAAAGGGAGCAACAACATAGCTTATTTAGCATTTCCAATACAACTTTGGAAACTCGAAAAAAATAAGATCAGTAAAAAAAAAGATACAAAATTCATATCAAGAAGAGAAACAAGAAAGAAGAGAGGGAGGGGGGGGGGGGGGGTGGAGGATCACCTGAGCAGGATTTAAGCTGCTCCACGGTTGTTGCAATGTTGCAAGTTCCCACAATATTATACCAAAGCTGTAGACATCTGATTTCTCATTTGACGGCTCGTCACGGAGAACTTCAGGTGCCATCCACTCAGGCTGTTTAATACAATTATTCAGTTTACAACAAATTCAACAGGCAAAGAAATTAACAGTGGTCCCATGCCATTCATCACAAGAGCTTACCGTTCCTGCAGCTGATTTTGATGACAAAAAAGTATTTGCTTTTAGACGCGAAAGGCCAAAATCACAGACCTAAACAAGTAAATGTAATCATAAGAGAAAAATTAGAATCGATGTGATTAGTGAAAGACAAAAGGCTAAAAACAGAACATATGAAGAATTATGAAAATAAGGACAGAAGACAAGACATGCAAAGTCAACCAGAACATAATGTAGCCCAAAAAATAGTTAGTGTGCTAAATAAATAGCAAAAAGCTACAAATAGATAACTAGGAGCAATTGACAGAACTAGAATACATGTAAAAGGGTAACAAGACATTTGTGTACGAATGACCCATAGTAAAAAAAAAATTAGGCCTTTTAATCACTAACCATCTCTAACAGAACACCTTGTCACAAGACTACCCCATAGTGCGGAATTTACATAGAACAGTCCTTAAATACACAATGATGTTCAGAGTTCAATCTAATTGTTTCAATTGCCAAGGAATTAGGTTATCACTAAAAGTTCGAAAACCCATTCCCCTACTCATTATTATCCCCTCACGCGATCATGCCCTTGTGCAAGACAAGATATATATTCACAATAATAATAAGCATTGAAAAAGGGGAAAATGCTAAATTAATTGATGCATAAAGATACAGGTTTTCAGTCTAGATCCAGCATTTTGCTAAAGCAATAAACGGTGTTTAATTGTACAAAAGTTAGCACTACAATACAACTCTTTCTCAGTCTGCACACAGGAGGATTAGATGCCCAAGGGAAGGGTTGGGGGTGTATAACAACTTTACCTTTATAGTGTATTTGCCAAATTAATTGTAAAAAAGTTAGCACTACAATACAACTCTATTCTTCAGTCTTCACACAGAAGGATAGGCCCCTAGGAAGGGGGTGGGGTTTATAGCAACTTTACCTTTACAGTGTATTTCTTATCCACCAAAAGATTAGGAGACTTTAGATCCCGATGAACAATAGGTGGATTACGCTTATGAAGATAATTCATTCCCTTTGCCTGCAAAGAAGAAAGTTCTTTAGTTGAAGAGCCAACAATTAGTGCCAACAAACATGTAACTAATCCTGAGAATCATGCATGATAGTTTTTTTTTTTCTTTTTTTACTCCTTTTTACTTTTTTTTTTTTTTTTCTTTTTTTGCATGGTAGGTTCTTTTTTAAAAATTAAAAAAAAAATGAGGGGAAGCACAGGAGACTAAGCATGCATACCACATCATAAGCCATACTCAAACGCCGCCTCTCATCCAACACTTCTCTGCCACCCGATTTATGTAAAAGCCTGTATAAACTTCCTCTGCAATTCAAGTACCATATATAACTAGTTCAATAAGAGAAACAAAAAAAGAGGGGGGGGGGGTGCGGAAATAGGAACAAAAGAAAAACAGAGGAAAGAATTTAAGAGGATGTGGTCTAAAAGTTTAAAGGACGCAGACCTGCATAAATATTCTGTCACTATGGCCAAATTAGGTGGCTCAGTAACTGCCCCCATGAAGAGAACTATATTTGGATGCCGTAATCGTTTCATTATTGCCACCTAATTAACAATATTTCAATTAAAATGGACCAGAAACACAAGAAATCACACATATTCAAGCAATTATGTAGACCAATAGCTACATCATGCTTAATTCTCACCTCCCTCAAGAATTCATTACATCGCTCTGGATGGAAATCTGACTCCATGAGAATTTTGACCGCAACCTCCTACACAGTGAACCATAAGGCCATTATTAGTTCTGCATCTGGATCATATAGATGATACATCAAATGTACACAGTTCAGCAACTTGGAGAGAGACAATAGAACTAGCTGAAGATTTAAAAAATGGATTCAACAAACACAGTCTTCCTGACAAGGAAAAAGGATAGGAGAAAAAACGATTATGATATAGGCTTGTGAACAGATGTTAGAGAATGTAAGCTCATTGACACCCTTCTCCCAGTAGGAGTGAGAATAACAAACAGTCAAACACCACCACCACCACCACCACACCCCCCCCCCCCCCCGCACACCCCCTGGGGCTCTTTTTTCTCCCCACAATTCCATCCCATGGTGGGTGGGGTGTGTCTTATAATATATGATTGGATAAGTAAAGATTTTATGTTATGTATGATTTTTACCCTCTCCAATTTCCTGCTTATCCCACACGCCTTTAAGAACTTTGGGTTAATTTGCAAATGTACTTGTGATTGAATGTTCCAGTACCATTTGAACATTTTTGCTTATCTGTAAAGGATCTACAAAAGTGGAGAGTAGTCATGAAGTACAATAGTTCAAGGACCTTCATCTTGTCACCAAGACCCAAGCTTCGGATCTCTCGCCATTAATACTCAACTTTAGCATCAACGCTTGGTTCATCCAGGATAGCACAATCTTTAACTTTCTTAGAAAGAAGACTAGCTTGGTAACTCCCATTTGTGTCCACAACATCCTCACAACATAGACGTTGCATTTAGACACTCATACATGTCTTATAACTCTAATATGCTCAGGTTCCAACTGATATCTGATATACATTTGTTCAGCATAACATCCATTTCGTTGATATTTACTATGTGTATATTCACCTTGATCCAATTGTCCTGTTCTTGTAAATATGTTCATAAGCTAAAGCACATCCAATAAGGTGGCTGGTAAAGTAGATTTGACGCAATAAAAGCACAATCTGACTGTTTTACATTAATGGCACTCTTCTTCAGATGCTAAGTTTATCAGAATCATGGCAAGATGTAAACACAGATATACCCATCTTAGAGACTTAGACACAACAAGTTTAACAATTGAATCCACTGGACAAAGTTAAAAGAAAAAAAATGGCAATGCCTTTTTTTTTATATATAAATAAAAATAAAGACAATTTATTTTACATAAAAATACACTTTAGAAGTAACACACACTATCTTCATATAAATTAAAGGCAAAACACCTGGTTTTCAGTGAAAGAAAAGTCACATTCTAAGTTTCTATTGCAAACAGACAAAAAAGTTAACAAAACGAAGTCTCTAGCCCTTATCCTCTTACGGCCATACCCTTCTTCCCTGATAATGGTATCAAAGAGATATTAGCTCTTAGTTAACAAAACGAAGTCTGTGAAAGATCATATAAGCTTCCTCTTTATAAAATTCCAAAAGCTATGATTTAGTTGTAGGGAGATTACATCAACTTTTGTCCAAGTCAAAAAGGTCACCTTAATATGCTATTTAGTCTGCTCATAAAGAGCAGTGAGAATTATACATGGCTTGAGCTTGGAATACCAATTGAATGTTATAAGAAAAGAATGCTACTTAAACTGCAGGAAAGATTTTGCAGATGATGTCACTCAATCCCTTAGTATATTCGTATATATACAATCTCCAACCATTGTTTTATTTCTCACCTTACGTCGTTTTTTTTTTTCTCTCTATATAACCTTTGAATTTTCATCTTGCTTCTTGCCTTTGTATTAGAACAAAGGAAATGTCTCTACAACAACATCTAACAAATACAGAATCAAAAATTAACTTCCACCAATTGTGAATGAATACAGGACCATTTGAGATCAAACAAAAACAACAGGAAGATATTTCAAATCTTCACCACGGAATGCCACAACATAACAAATATCAGGAAGTATAAAATGCTCACCGATCCGTTCCATTCAGCACGATGGACAGTCCCAAACGAACCTGGAGATACAAGTAGGTAGTTCAAAAACCGATATCACAAAGACCAGAGAACAAAATGCACTCATAATTAGAGACAAAAATGTGTTTAGGGTATTAACAAAACCAAGCTAATAATTTCTACAAGATACATAAAGGCTAAAGCATGAAAGTTAAATGATAGAGATACCTGCTCCAATCTTATCCCTTACGACAAGGTCACCCCATGAGATGACCAAATCATCCATGTCTAGAGCAGCTTCACTTCTACTTGAAACTAGCTGACCAGCCTCAAACCGAAAATCATTAGATGTATTTCTCGTTGAATCAGTGAATGGCTGGGTCACTCGTTGTCTGCTAGGAGGAACAAATCTTGATTGAAGGAACTCTCTGTTGGCATTAGGTACTTTTCCAATATTTTGTGGAGGACTACTAGAATCAGAAGACTGGGATTCTCTATCATGACCAACAAACTGAGAATGTACTTGGTCATTTGGTACAGGATTATTTGCATCAGGAAGCTTCCTAGCAAGTTGCTTAAGATACATCGGATCTCCTGCATCTTGTTCATTTACAACTGTACCTGCGAAGAAATTCAACATGTAAGATGCATGCAAATATTACTAACAAGATACAGGTTTTGGTTGATTTGAGGCATGAGAAGAAGACCAATATACTAGAATATGTTGCCAATAACAATCCTGCAACTACTATATCAGTTTTTCATGCAGCAAAGGACATTATAAACAGCTAAAAAAAAAGCAGGAAAGGGGGCATCCCTTCTCTTTTTTATTTTGAAGGGTGATAAAACAAGAACAACAATCGAAGACTTAACTCAATTGATGGGATTGGCTACATGAACAAATATTTATCTCTAACCATGATCCTCACCTTCCTTTCCCTTCTGTCCAATGTTATATGTTCATGCAAACCCAACTTATTTATGTCCTGCTTTCCTACTTCCATTCAAATCATCTTTGGTCTTCCTTGCCTCTTCCAACCTTGATCCACACCCTTTACTTCCCTTATTGGTGCAGCTTTTGATCTCCACCTTACATGTCTTAAACATTGATTCTCCCTTATTTAATCCTCAATATCCGCAACCCAACTTTCCTTCTCATATTTTCAGCCACATATCCATCTCAACATACCCATCTCTGCTGCTCCTATCTTTCTAATCGATGCTTCCTGAATGCCCAACATTCTGACCCATTTAACAACATTGGTCTGATAATTGTCCGATTAAATGTTCCCTATAACTTTAAATGTATGCTACAGTCACACGATAACCCAATTGTTGCTCTTCACTTGAGCCAACCGGACTTAATCCCATGGATTAAGCCTTAATCAATTTCTCCAGCAAAATCTATCCAAGGTATATAAACACTTGCTCATGGGCACCTTCTAACCATCGTTATTATACCCCAACTTGACTTCCTCATAGAGCTAAAATTAAATTAAACTATTCTCTTCTGAACTTGAATGTTATCACTTCTAAACCACCACCCTCAATATCGTTATTATAATTCCTTCCATTTTACAATGGAAATGTGAAGCCTATCGCCTAGGCCATTGACCAGAATCCCAGCTGAACTTCTCAAGTTCACTGTGCTAGTATTATTATCTATCATCAGGACCCCTCACATATATCAAGAGAAATAGGATCAATTTTATTTAATAACACGCTTAGAGTGAAATTGGTATAGCTACACATATGAGATTGACAGATAGGGAAAAAAAATCTAGATTGCATCCTTATATCAAAACTTATTACTTTTTCCCAATAAGAAAGCAAAAAAATGTAATATCTCACTAGAAACTTTAGAAAACTCTTGATTGTATAAGGCTGTGACAACAATAATAAAGATAAATAACACCAATAGCATTAATGGATCAGTCACCACCAACCAGTTAGGATATCGGCACGCGCTAGTAGTAGGATCAGGGGATACACAATGTTCTTCATTAAGAAAATTACACCATCATTTAGTACAAAGTTGATGCAAGTTTCTTTATGATTCAAAGAGCACATATAACAATTTACAATCAAAGTATAATGTATCTTCAAGTTAAAATCAAGAAAAACTTAATAAATCAGGTTCTTTAGTCATATGGTTTTAAACTTTTAAGACAGTAAAGACAATAAACAATAACTCAATAAGTTCATTGAGTATCACAAGAGACAAAGAAAGATCACCTGTTGAAGGCCTGTCAAATACAAGATTCAGAGATTGACAATCTGAAAAATACTGTTTGGCCAGTGACCTGAAATCTATGGCAGGTTCAACTGTTCTAAATCGTGGAAAACGCAATGGTGAAGAAATCGATATGGAAGATGGACCATTAAGCAAGGAATCAGGCTCACATAAGCAACCAGGCTTCCCAACCAAATCAACCAAATACTCCCTGAAACAAATAAAAGAATAGCATTATCATGCAGATACAAGGTGCATCAGGAGCTCGGGATTTCCAGTATTGACATAAGCTAGCCAACAAGACTCCCATCTTTCCATCAAGACCACAGCTCTAATTTTTTATTTTTTTTTAAAAAAAAAGGGCAAAATTATTTGCATATGCAGTACAATCTACTAGTCCTATGCAGCTTTTTTTTTTAAAAAGAAAAAGGGGTAAGAATAAAATGGCAGTTTCCAACAGGGGTGGAGCCACAAGTGTGCCTGGTGGGGCACATCCCCTTCCATTCCCAAAAAAAATTTAGCTTTACTCTAAAAAATAAATAGATAAAATCTGTGGGCACAACTCTAAAAATAAATAGATAATATCCATGTGCACAGCAACTCTAAAAAACAGCTACACAGTCTGACATTCATCACGGCTGACAGCATACCCTAGTAACACTAGCCCCCAAAAATGAAAAGAACCTAACCTCTGCAATAGGGCCTAGGCTTTGAAATAGACAAAAACATGACCATTTAAGCTGTGTTACCAGATCAAAATAATAAGCTTCACCAATAGTTTGGATCGAAGCATGATAAAGAAATTTTAAAATACTTTCCATTAACATCCTTGTCCTGACAATACAATGCATCAACAACATCCCAATACTGCTCCCACCCTAGATAGATTTAATAGGATAAGATTTACAAAACCTCCCTACTCCAGTGACTAATAGCAAAAAAGGGTTATGTTCAACTTTCCCTTGATCCAAACACAACCACCACCGACTTCTTCATAGTAAATATTAGCAACTAAGATTATAATAAGCCATATAATTTAGTCCAAAATGTCCACAATCTTACAAAATGTGAATTTGTGACTAGCAGAAATATATTTGGTAAGCATTATGATAAACTTAAAAATTAATATGAGCATACCTGTCAGGTCCAAACCGTACAAGGCAAGAGGTAGCATCATTTCTGTTGCAATATTTACAGCCCTTGGCAATTCGGCATGGCAAATCAATTGAATCAGCAAGGACCTGAAAGTAAGGATGATAAAACATGTTCACATGCCCTTCAGAAGCATAATATTTATAAAGTAAAAATTTCATTTAACAGAGAATTATAATTTTATAAACTTTAATATACAGACTTTTACATCACACAAGAGAGGTCAACAATGTACAGCAAATAGCATGTTACATTAATCATACACAGGACATGATAGCATTACAGATTAAAGATTTCACATCATATATTATATAGAAGTCACCTATAGTGCAGAAAGTTACAGTGATCAACTGACCATACACAGAGCATAATGGCAGTATAATTTAAAGACTTCCACATCATAGATATGTAGAGGTCAGCAATTGTGCAGAGTGTAGCATGTTACAGTGGACCATACATAGGGCTTAATGGCAGTATTGGTTAAAGGAGGTCCACATCATACACTAAATACAGGTCAGCAATAGTGCAACAACTCAGCAAGTAGCAAATTACAGTAACCAAAAGAACCAGAACTCAACTCCATACGTCATAAAATGTCGATAAAGAAAATATGTACTCAGACAAAGAATTCCAGGAGTCTTAACAATTAACCCAGATAAACAACACAAAACTTTCAGACAAGAATGTACGGCTCACAGGGGTGAAGCAGTTAAGAAGCTTGTGTGATTTACTCAAAAAGCCCAGCCTCGGCATTGAGAGATAAACTCACATGAAGATACACTTAAACTTAAGTTGGCAGGTATACTGACTCATGACTGCAGGCTATTCCCTGTACCCACTGAGCCTAGAGCCCACAGCACAAAAGTCACCACATGATCAAGACAAAAATGATGGAAAAGGTAGTAACATGCTCACAGCTGTCCCGGTGCCAACTTTCTATAATCTACATCAAACAGTACAAGTAACAATGTTAATTTGACAGCAATTGACATACTTTAAATAGCAAAGCACGATGTTTGCATAGGCCAATAGATAAGCTACCAACAGGAAGCACAACAGACCCCAGACAATCCTTGAGACCATTACTGAACTCCTCCCAGATGGGAACCAATTCCTCCTCTCTGGTTGAAGCTGCTCCCCTAATGTAAGATCAAAAATTTGTCAGAACGAGTGGGCTTCCATAAATTTGAACATAGTACACAAAGGGACACAATAACAACTCACCCCATGCGGCTGCACACCAACTTTGCCATCTGATCAACAACTTCATCAGAGGTCATGCAATTACAGGATATATCAAGAGCCCGGTTAAGCAAATCCTTCAATGTGGAATCACTGCGCCGATCAATCAAAACTACCTCAAGTGAAGATTCATTTACAGAAGTTACCGACTTCAGTGATTCAATAGAAGGAATGCGACCATTCTCTTGTAAATCAGCACACACTGTCCAAACATAAGGATCCATCCCATGTATGAGATAAAATCCATCAGGAATTTGATCAGAGTACGAGAGGCAGCCATTTACCTGATAACAAATCACATCTGGTGAGTATTTGGATAAATTTATAAATCCTTATTGCAATAATTAGTGGCAATGGTTTTAACAAAAGTACAAAATTTTCAATTTGATGAGTAAAAAAGAATCTCTGATTATGCAATAACAGATAATTCAAAAGCTATGACCCACACAATCCACAAAGTGGTGTTTTCTTCTTACAAATAATTAAGTAGAAAATGAAATTATAAGGCGCACAATAGACATAAAGGCTCAACAATTGATAAACATACAAAAATATGTCCATATATATTTAAAGTGACAATCTTAACAAATACCAATTGACAGCTACAAATGCAAACTACAATGCTTAACAGGCTACAATGGCCTTTTTATTTTCAGAAGGTGCAGTAGCACCACCTTAAGTCAACCTATGGGTCACCAAGTACCACATAATATTCCAGTGGTTTTACTCATGAAAAACAATTGATATTACAGTAGAGATTTGCATGTAACCAATGATGGCATGTCTCATTAATTACTAACACTCCCAAATAACAAACTCAAATCAACAACTATTTTGAAATCAATCAAAGAAGCTGGCTGCCTAGTACACACCTTAATCTGCTTCAACCACAACAGAATTAAATGTCATTATCTAGCACCTTCATTTTCACCCATAGTACACAAAACCAACACATGACTTGAATAGGCAGCTGCTGCTCTTCAGCCAAATGAAAGCCTAAAAGACTAGAAAGCACAAGGACTATCTGTCATGTCCTTTCTTATTGGGTAACAAGAATAGGGACTTAAAAGATCTATAATGTGGGGTTAAACCATGAGAGATTCGTCCAAAATCCAAAGAAAGGCTTCCTCAACTCCTCAAGAAATGAAGGAAAGCCTATTTTATCTATGAGATACATTCAGTAAACATATCCAAGGGCAAAATGGGAAAAACACAAATTTATATTCTATATATTGTACTAACTCCATTTCTATATTATCTTAACACTTTCCATTTTGGTCTATTTCTAAAAGTTCTCAAACACTTCCACTTTATTCCATGTTTGCCAAACCCTTTTTACTACATTATTTCTCTTACCCCCACCATTTTTCACTATTTACTCACTCTTTCTCACTCTATGCATTTTCTCGAGTCTCCCATTATTTTACATGCTCTCTCTTACTTTAACCATCTTTTTCTTAATGTGATAAATATTGTATACAGTAATATGCATATTGTATATGATATAATAAGCATTGTTTAAGTCAATAAGCACATTGTACAATACTGATACATGCATTGAGATCCATGTCAATCTAATGGCAATGATATTTTTCCTTTTCATATGTTGATCAAAAAGTTTGCCTATAGAGATATTTATCTCTGATATGTAGCTTACATTTATTCATTTGGTGTGAAAAGCTAAAATCAAATGCTTGTATCTTTTTATTCATTACCTATGACACAAAATGGTACAAATTGAAACCTTTATATTAATAAGACATTTACAAGCCTTATTAAAACCTAAAATGAACGCTTAATGGCCAAAGGAGATACCAGAAAAGAGATAAACCATATTGACAACCAAAAATCATTAAAGTCCTAGACTCCTAGTCCATTTAGTTTGGATAATATGAGAAAAAGCAGAATATTATGTTTCAATAGAGAATAAGCCGCCCATATAAGACTCAAGAGCTAATTTCTTAAGGAATGCTTTCACCGAATGTAAATTATCCATGTTTATCAACAGCATAAAGGAAGCTATGACGATATTATTGAGTACTAAAGTTTTAGTAGGCCGCCAAACAACCTCTGAGAACGGTTGAAAAGGGAGACTAGAAGAAATAATGCGAAGTGGACTAAGTAGGAGGAAAGGGATAATAAAATGTTAAGGGAAGTTTGATTATCATGGAAATCATGCACTTATTTAGATTCAGCCGAATAAGGCAAGTGATGCACTTATTTAAATCACGAGAGGTACTATGATTGTTTTTCTCTTCACCTTTAAGATAATTTTTTCTTGATTGTGCTTTTTCCTTGGTTTTAAAGGGTGTAGGGCGCAAAAGTCCTTCAAGCTAAGATGCAAGGCCAGAGGCAAAGGCGTACACCATTGAGGCACACTTTATTCATTTAAAAAATATATATTAATTTCTTTTAAATAAGTCAAAAAAAAGAATTCTAAGAAAAGGTGAAAGGGTTATGTGATCAATAGCTAGGGTTTGTAATAAACAAACCTAAGAAGGGGCAATATGGATAGTCTAGTATTATTAGGTTAATAATCTGCTGGGAAGTAGATGAACCAAGACAGACATTGCTACAGTAATAGCAATTAGAGGAAGGCAGAGGATAGTTTATATTGAACTGATCAGAGTAACCACTCAATAAACCCTTTCTATCGAGAGGAAAGGAGCTCTCCACTAAGCAAAAGCTTAACAGTATAATTCGCATAATTATTACATCAGAGGTGCCTCACTTAAATACAATTAGTGTCCATCACATCAGGCTAACCGAATTTGATTCCCTTCTAGCTTCTCATAACAAACGCCTCTAACAGAACGTGACACATCGGCATTAATTTAACCTGCTGAATTTTCTACTCTTGCCTTGCTTCCTTCTTGCATAGGTAAATACCACTGGAGGCCTTGGTGTATTCCTTGCATAATCAGTAGTTTATTATAAATAGAGAGGAGAGGAAGGAAAGGGTAAGCAGAATTTGGAATGAATAATTTAGGAGAATTGTAACCCTAAGTCACTATTAGGAGAATACGCAATCTAAAGTTGTTACTTCCTTCATCCTTAATTTTTTACCCCAAAGAGGTGAAGTTACTTTTTATAATTTTTGGTTGAAAATAGTTGATAGAGAGAAAAGTGGTGGTTAATGTAGTGGTTGTGAGAATAAAAGGGAGGAAGTGTTAATGTAGTGTTGTTATGCATTTGCAAATGCATAACAAATATAAAAATATTAAAAAGTACATGGAAGAGAGAGAAAGGAGGAGAGAGAAAGGTAAGTGGGACTACTTTCAAATATACTACTCAAAGTTAATATAATAATCATTAGTTATTTAGTGATACTATATATGCACTTAGTACCACTGAATGCATAGATAGTACCACTGAATGCATACATAGTACTACTAAATGCATACATAGTACCACTGAAATATTCAATGGTACTATTTCATCACCCAATGATATTATTGATCATTCAATAGTACTACTCTAAAATCAAAATATACATTACGTGCAATTACACTCTTACCCCTCATTATGCATTAGTTCTTGCATAACAGGACTCCCTTTAAACAAGCTCAATAAAAGGTGTGGTCCCTACAACCAAAATTAGTATGGAGCAATCTCAAAGGAATGGACTAAAAGGAATATAGGGCAAATATTAAGGAATTGAAGGAGAAGTTTGTAAAAAGCTCTAACCTTTTTAATCAAAGAATCAATATTTCTCTTTAAATTTCTGTTATTTTGCGAAAGTTGGCAATAGTTTCAATCTATTACAAATGGTATCAGACTGATCAGAGCAATTGTGCTATACTGCACGCCTAAAACAGCCACCTTCCGATCATTAAAAAAAATGAAAGATTTCGAGGAGTCAATTAAAAGGGTTGTGGTGATAGCGATCACCCAAGTAATGAGGAGGATTGGGGTGAAGCTTAGCATTCTTGTAATAGACTAGATTAGCCAGCTTTCTCACTTGTGCCTTGCCCTTAGGCACACCTAAGAAGCACTTTTAAAACTAAATTGTTTTCTATCTTACTTAAAACCTCTGCTGAATACATTTGTTGTTTGGAGGAAATTTACCAAATTACGCTTCCTTATTCCAATTTGTACCTTAATGATATAGTTATCATGTTTTATTTAGTGCAAAATGTGCTCTAGAAAATGATTTTATAAAATTTAGGCACTTTAGGGGAGCCAATGGCGTTTTGCCCTTGCACTTGGATCCTTTGTGCCACAATTGCGTGCCTTAAACTAAGGCATTTGGGAGTTTAAAAGGGCAATCACTTGACTATCTTCCCTTGTTTTTGAGCTTATCAACTTGTTCCCCAATTTCACCTTCAAATACGGAGTGTCTAATTCATAACATAAAATGAACATAAACAACTTTATCTTATGTGCCTAAAAAATCAGGTAAAAAAAAAAAGACCTATTTTCTACTAATTCTACTATTATAATGGTATTCATTGTTTTTGTGGCTCATACTCGAGTACTCACGTCTAACACAAATATGTGTCCAATTGTCTAGATATTTTGTGAAAATTTACCATGACTTTCAACTAAAATAAAGTGTCTATCAGTCTAAGTGTCCTACCCACATCCAAGGATCCGACATGAGGTACTTCGAGGTGAAATGAAGAGTGCGAGTAACATAGTTCATTATTATAAGATCACTGAAGGGAAGGATTATAGGAGATAATGGAATAAAGAGTCTCCGTGTATGTGAAACCCTAACCCTTGACTCACATTGCACTCAATATCCAAAACTACATGAGTCCGGCAAGGAAGCCACAAAGAATATAAATTGGAAAATATTTTCTAGAAAGTAACTTTGTAACAGAGACATCGAGGAAGATAATGGCTTTCATAGACCAATTGAGCCAATCAGCATATTGGAACTTCCACTTATTGGAGGCATCAAACCTAAGAAAATTGCAAATGCTTATGGGGTCTACCAGAAGAAGCGTGATAACCGATAATGGAGCTTAACTAAACAATTAGGTTGAAGTTCTGCAGTTGTCTATCCATGTCGACTTATCAATTCTCTGTCAAACTCAAACCAGTAAAAAAATACAAGACCTAAGAGGAACACAATCACCCAATGCCGCATTTTATGAACTCGAGAACACGGAGCGTAAAGCAATCGGTTTGTTACCTAAGTTACCAATTCTCACCCAACCAACATAAATCACAACAATGGCTGCAAATTAGCCGCATTTCTAGTTACAAGCTTACAACAATGCAATCAAAATTCAAAAATACAACCAAATGGAGGAAAATAAATTGCAGAAAGTAAAAGAATTACCCAAAATCGATGAGATATGGACTCGGCGGATTCGGAGAAAGACAACCGAGACGAAGATTCATCCAGCATCGGATCCAAGAAATTAGGATCATCAGCACAAGCAGCTTCCGAAGAAAGTCTCAAAGCCAACGCCAATTGCAGCTGATAACTCTCCTCCGTCTGCTGCGCCCAACTCTTCGACGACGAAGACTCTCCGCCACCACCGCCGCCGCCGCCAACACCGTCAATCGCCGCCCTCTTTCTCGAACCTCTCTCCTCCTGCAAGTAGCTAAAACCATCGAGATCGCTCGCCGGTAGCGAGATCGATGGCACGTAATGATCCGACAATGAACTCTCCCCAAAACTACTCCCACTGCTCTGTCTCTGCAACCCGATCGACGCCGGAAACACGTTTCTCTCTCCTCCGACGCCGGAAAACTTTGACGCCGCCGTCGCTGGCGGTGGCGGCGTTGAATGATCGTCTACTTGACTTAGAAGTGTGTAATTTGATCTTCTACCAGGCATTTCCATGGAAAATTCAATCAACAAGCTTCAAATAATTTCAATTAATCAATCAATTTCAGCTGAATTAAACCCCTAGAAAATTGAGCAAAGAAATCCTAGAAAACCGCCATTTTTGTCAAAATCTCATTGATTTTTCCCCTGATTTTTTGTCTTTCTCTCTCTAAGTTACTTACTTTCTCTTTCTAAATAACAGTGTTATCATAAGCATAGCTGCCTTCTTTTTCTTTCCTATTGTCGGGAAAGAGGAGAGAGAAGATTCGGTGGCGTAATCGTAAATTCGTAGTAATTCCGAAAATGAAAAAAAAAAAGAAATGTTTTTTTTTAATTTAATTATTCTTAAAATAAAATTATTATTTTAAGTTTTACCTTTGGTGATGGTGGGGACCATATTTTATCGGTTGTGCGCCGCAAATCAGTCTCCATTCTCTGCATTTGAAAGTTGAAACCAAATTTTAGATTTTTTTATTTTTATAAAATTTAAAAAAAAAAAAAAAAATTATGATGAGAAGAGCTTTCCTATTTAAAAGGACCTTGGCCAAATACAAATTCTCTCTCCCCCTTTCCTTGCATGTTAGGGATGATTTTTAATTTATTGCAAATTTTTTTCTTATTTTTTCAACCATTTTTTTTCCTTTTCAGGTATGCTTTTGAACTAGTACTACTAATTTATTTACTAGTGGGGGCAATTTCTTTGATATTATCTTAAAGTGACTTTGTCTATTAGTACGATTATATAGTGGTTTCATTTTCGATGGATTTAGGACTACAATCAATCAGATTGTTCTTATTGGAAACAATATATAACTTTTTCAGTTAAATTTTTCTTGGACAAGAAATTTCTCGAAAGTGTGTTGTTGTATAAGGTAAAAACACTCAGCCAAGTAAACCAATCAGAGGCCATCAAGTGGTCCAACCAACAACTGACACATTGATTAAATCTTAGCCACCAAAGGCCAATAAGAGTTGACATGTGTCATTTGAAAGATACATGAATAATTAAAGGCTCAAAAGCACACAAAAGTTATATAACCTTGTGAAACAATACACCCTGAAAGACATGTCACGCACAAATAGAGCAGCTCAATTAGGGTGTACCTTTTTAGGTCGTAAAACTCTCGTAGCATGCTCTCAGAAACAATACATATATATACCCCCAATTACTTATTGATGGAACATGTTACTTTCATTGCCAAAGAGCTTTCACTTCTCTCTATTTTTTTTTCTCTCCAATATTTACTTCTCCCGTCAATAAATTGAACGCCAAAGGCAAATATTATGATACCAAATTTATTTATTTTTTTTTACTTTGTAGGTGCTTCTCACGTGTATTGCTGCATTTCAAGATCGTAGTCACCCAAGAGATAAAAAAAAATTTTAAAAAACCTAGAAAAGTTGAGACTACATTGTACTTCTTTTTTTGAGAAAAGATTATTTGTAAAAAATATGACATTTTGGCCGGTCTTCCATGTATAGGACATTTTGGTCGGTCTTCCATGTATAGGATACCAAAAAAAATAATAATAAACTAATATCACCTTTAACATGTTAAGTGTGACACGTGTCACTATTCGATTGGTTAGGCTTTATTATTTTAATGTTTTACTATTTCAACTAACCCATTAACCTTTAATTAATTCTGTTTAACTCATTGTAAATCCATGGAATGCAAATAATCTCGATTTGCATATTGAGAAATTGCTTGATATAAGGTTTTGTGGTTATTTTTATCCTTAAGAGTCGATTCAAGGTCAAATGGCAAAGAATTAATTGAAAAACTTCGAGTTGTGTGCCTGATTTGCAAGAGGGAAAATTGATCGGTTAAGGTTTCAAAGGGTAATTTATTCTGTAAGGATCAAATTTTAAGGTTAATTTTGAAAAAAAAACAAAAAAAAAAAAAAATTATCAGTAGTTTGTATGTGTGCCTCGATTTGTGTGATATGGATTGGTATCGGTTAAATAATAGGATTAATAGATTATTTAAAACTAAATTCAATTTTCTAATAAATTCAATTCTAAAAAATATAGACATAAAGTCAGTCAATCAAATAGTTAGATATATGTGCCCAATTTTTCCCGACGAACAGGTTACAATGGTTACAACCTATTTAGAACGCATACACCCACAGGAGTGGTGTTATTTTCAAATAATAAAAAAGTCGTCTAATTTATGGGAGACCAACCCAATATCGTATAATTATATATGATGATTTTATTGTTTCATTATCACGATCACCTTCTATTGTTATATGATAAGATTAGTATTTGAAAATTACACCTTATAAGATAATTATGGAAAACATGTTACGTTACAATCCCTTTAATATTAATGTTTAATACAATAATCACAATAGTTAGTCATTTTATTAAGCATTAGCATCAACAAACATAGCAATAATTAGTTTGAAGTTAATTAACAATTATATGCAATTCTATATAAATTGCAAATTACTGCATGTCATAAAAAAACCTAGTTAAGGCGGTGAAATTGGGTCATACTCATGGCCCAATTTCGTACCTTCATACCTAAATCATAGATTATTCAAGACCTATATATAGAGTGAATGATCTCTATACTTATTATAGAGGCGTAGCCTTAATGAATTAAGTGAAGGAGTAATGTCCTTCGATAAAGTGCATTATTCCAATATATGGTTCAGATTAATGATAGTGTTAATTATTCAGTGAAATTAAGTGATCGAAATGCCTACCCAGATGTCACTTTAATGTCTTTTTGGAATTCATAATATAAAATTCTCCCCAACATAGATAATATATATAATTTAGAAAAAAAATGGTTTTTATAATCCTAACTTTGACCAGTTCGATTTAAATACTTCCAACTTTAGATTATTATTGAATAATCCCAACTTTAGAGGGTATTCACTTTTATTGGATCCAAGTGGCCGGCAACATGTAAATATAAGTATTTATTGGTTTATTAGACACGAGTTAGCATGCATTTGGTCAAACTATAAAAAAAATTAAAACAAAAAGGAAAACATTTTTTTTAAGAAAAAAGAACCAGGCCCAGGCACGACCTCCAGCAGCCCACCCCACCCATGAAATGGCGGCCCCCCATTCCCCACCTCCGGAAACAGGGGCGAAGCTAGGATTTTTCAGTTATGGGGGCCGGACTTGTTAGACAATATATTGATGGAAATATATAAAAATTAAAATGTATTAATATTTCAGTGTTACAAAAAAAATTAGTTAAATCGTATTCTACAAATTTTCATAGTAGCAAAATCATCCATCAAAGACATAACACTACAGCTTTATGAATTCCCAATGACTCGTAGTAGTATACACTTCCTCGCTTTTATTTTACTTTGCCTCGTTTTGAATTTTTTTTTATCAAAAAGTTCTAAGAAAATTTGTCAAATAGGATGAGTAAATTAAATTACATGATATCCAATATTGCTTCAATAATTTAAAAGAAACTATGCACAAAATTATTAGTTAAGAAGTTATGCTTTTTACGTAAGAGTTGCTAAAAATGACTACACTTCACTTGGTTAAATTAGGTAAAAGATAATTAAACTTGTAAGATTTTAAAAAAATGTATGGGATAGGGTTTGATCCCCGGTCCCTTCTAAAAATGCATTAAGACCCAACCAACATGACAAGCTATATTTGTTATTACATTCTTATCTTTAATAATATACTTCCTCTGTTCTTTTTTACTTGACCTGTTTCTTTTATCACGCTTGTCAATCCAAAACTTTAACGATCAATAACTTCAATTCTCCATAAGTAAAGATTATAAGAGTTATATATTATGATAGTACTTATTGAGACGAATTCAAAAATATCATACATGAATATATTTTTCCTTACAAATTATTCACAAAAGACGGTCAAAGGAGAGATGGTGAATAGTGTAAAAGTCAAAGCGGGTCAAGTAATAAAGAACGGAGGAAGTATATAATAATTTAAGGGGGGCCATAAGATTAAAACCAAGGGCTGCAAATTAGGGCCGGGGAGGCCGGGCCTCCACCAACCTCCCCACCCCGCGTGTCCCTTCGCCCTTGTTCGGAAATGCCCCCATTCCCATCTCATCTGTTTCCCTCACCCCTGAACATTGCCTCTCTCCCCTTCCCAAGCCTAAAATCCTACCCCCTCCCTTTCCCTGGCCACGAAACCCCAAAGAAGGTGGTGCCAGGGCTTGGGAAAGGGAGGGAATAGAGTTTCGAGACTACGGATGTAACACTTCAGGTCACACACGAGCCCACTAGTATATATTGTCATCTTTGAGCCCTAGCCCGCAAGGATTTGATTTGGTACAGGACAAAATGCATACCCAAAAGGTCTCTACTAGGTTGACGTATGAACCCCCATATATGTTAGGTTTTACGATGCGTGAGCACCGTGTGGAACCAAAATCCACCCGAACTGCATGTATAATTAATGTAACTAAACAAATATACAATTAATAAAGCAATAAACACATGAGAGAGAGAGAGAGAGATGAGGGCAAAGACCGCCTTATCCTTGACGTGTGCTTCACATGAACACGAGCACAATCTCTCAAAAAGCTCTAGACACGCACATGCGAATCCTCGTACTTCGCACAACCACACGTCCGAACAACGCTCCTATCTCGCAACTTAGATGAGACTAAACTAAAAAGGGAGTTCACGAAATTAAAGGTTTTCTCACGCTTTTGGGAGATGCCTTTTTAAGTTCTACTCAAAGTGTAAATTTCCCAACTCCCAAAGTTGGTATTTATAGGCAAAGCATTCCCAAAAACCTCAATCATCTTTCCCTGTGGGTGAATTGATAAAGTGAGAAAATAAGCAATTGATTTATTTCAAATTAAATTAAATAATCAGACAATAAGTGTCAATATAAGGCAGAGAGTAGGTGAGGACCACAACTCCCCTTGCTCCCCAATTAATCACTCCCACCAGCCAGCCCCAATAGGGACGCTCCAGTTGGCGTGTATGTTGGGTTTCGATAAGTCTAACTCACCGCGAAAATAAAACCCGAGCCCAAGGAAAAAAGTCACAATTAACATAACCAAAATGCATAAATAACAAGATTAGATAAAAGACTAAATTACCCTTGTAGCATGCTTCGCTCGACCAATGGAGATCTTATTTGAGAAAGCTAAGCCTCACAAACGCAACGGCCTCCGATGATATCCACCCACAATGCGACCTCGACTGATCTATTACTTGAGGTTAGCCAAGTCGAACCAAAGCACTACTCGAGAAATTAATGAGCTTAAAGGTTTTCTCTCAAGTGGA